GGGGGGCCTCCTGCAGTGATTTTGATGTTCAGCCAGGGCAGAAAGACATTTTGGTTAACATATTTCCTAAAAGAATTGGAAAAAACTAGGAAACCTCTTTGAATTTGACAGCTATGATTTCTTCTCCAGACTGATGGTTGTAAGGCACGCAACAGGTACTGCCTGTGAGCTCCAGTTACAGCTCTGTCACAGCACTCCTGAAGCAGATTTAGCCTGTTTGTTTTTGTGGGAAATGCCCACTATTCCATCTCTCTGGCTAAGCCAACTGTCAACTAACCAGTCAGTTCACACTCTGCCAGGAAAAAGAATCTCACTTCCTTTTTCCACCTCACACATACATATGTATCCATTTGACCACCACCTCAACTCTGAATTGTAATCCTGACTCATACAGATGGAGGGAACAGGGTCCAGTAGGGCAGGGTGCAGAGCCTCTGCCAGGAGTTATTATCTGGATAAAAATCAGACTCTGCTTCAGTGTTCCCCACCAAGACTGTGAACAATGTTCACAGTGCCCCTGCACTGTGTCTCCTGGGGACTCTCCACCCTGAGTCCTTGACTTACCAACCAAATCAAGTAAGGGGAATTCAAGAAGTGTGTGGCAAGGAGAAGGCCATGCCCTCTGCAGGGCAGATACAATTCCCAGAGGTCCATTTCAAGGAAGGAGGAAGCTGAAGAGGCAGAGCTAAAAGAGAATTAGCCAAAGCTAATAGAGAATGCCTCTATTGGCCCATGCATGCCCACCCAACCCCAGAAGTCTTCATGCAGCAGCGTGAAGAGGAGGGCCAGAGAGCTGCCTAACTTGCTTCACCTCCGGCAAAGGCAAATCTCTCCCAGCCCCATGACTCTCAGCAGAGGTGTCTCAGTTTTGGCTTCCACCCCTCCAGCACCCTCTACCACCCTCCATTCAGGGAAAGGAACAGCATCACAGCACTTCATTTTTCTGTCTCCCAAGACTGGCACACGCAGGCTCCAGGTAGAGTGGGCCGTGCGCAGCAGCCTCCCGACCACCCACTCCAGCCCCCTCAGCCCTCAGCCTCAAGGCAGCAAGCAGTGTAACAGCAAGTTTCCTCTTCACTCCTCTTTTTCTCTTTCTCCGTGCCCTGTGACACAAGTGATGAAACAAAAACTTGTAAAGGAGCACAAGTACTCTGTTCCCATCTGATAGCACATGCAGGAACCCTTCCTTCACTTCCCCAAACAGCAAAAGAACGAGACAGTGTGGGTCTATACCACACACTCATCGCAGACAGTCTCTGGTAGAGAAGGTGGGCCTATTTCAAAGTCACTTGCAAGCCTCTGCTTCCTCCCCCAGTGGCAGGAACCCAAAGTTCTGGTTCTGGTGTCTCCTTCACACAGATGGGAAGGTGAGGGGGTTGTTTAATTCAACCCAAGAAGCCCCAGGGCTTCTGAAGCCCTCTGGGAAGGACATGGGGGGGGCTGCACTCCTTGACCATGGGGAGGGTCAAGCGACTTCCCCCTCTATCAAAACTCTGGGTTAAACAGGAGCAATACCTGGTTTCTCAAGCAGCCAGGCAGGTACACAGTGGACCCTGAGAGGCTGAGAAGAGTGGAGGGAGGACAGCCTCTGTATGCTTTCCTAAAGGAAGAAAAAGAAAGGCTTGAGCTCATTCATGAGCTGATGCTAGACCAGGGCTGGCAGACTGCCTGAGGGCAGCTGCCTGCTTTTGTAAATAACATACTACTGAAATACAGCCATGTTCATCTGCCACGTGTTTACCTATCATCCATGGCTGCTTCTGAGTTCCAATGGCACAGCTGAGGAGGTGCAAGCCAAAAATATTTACTACCTTGTCTCTTTTAAGAAAAAGCTTTCTGGACAGGCACAGCAGGGCTCGCTCATAATCTCAGTGACTTGAGAGGCTGGGGCAGGAGGATTGCAAGTTCAAGGTCAACTAGGGAAAGCACCCAGACCCTGTCTCAAAATAAAAGAAAAAACGGTACTTACCCATAGACAAAACCCTGGGTTCCATCCCCACTGCTGCAATAGAAAACTTGTCAATGTGCAATTAAGTCCAAATCTGAATTTCTAAATTACTCAGCTCATACTGTCTTCTTAAACTTGAAGCTTACTTTTTACAAAACATTAAAGATGCTAAACACAGCATATGACAAGGGTAAAGTAAAGCAGGAGAGTTACTTGTTTCACTCTCCAAGGCACAAGGGAAATGAAGAGTCTCTGATCAGGTTGAATGTGGCAGGAAAGGAGCATCATGGGCCCTGGTGCCTGCATAACAAAAGAGGGGATGCTGTGTGCCACTAAAAGGGGACAAAAACTAGTTTGGAGGTCCAGCCCCGAATGTGGTTTACTATACACTGGTGAAGTGGGTGTGTGAGAAAAGGAGAAAACAGCAAAGGGAAAGGAGGGAAGAATGAAAAAGGAGGAGAAAAGATGAAGCAGCCAGGGAGCTTGGAAGCCAGGCACCAAAAATGTTGAAAGAAGGCGAGGACAAGTTTCTAGAAGGAAGTCACATCAACTCTTTCCTTTTTTTTGCTACTGAGAATGGAATCCAGAGGTACCTAACCACTGAACCACACCCCCAGCCCTGTTCTGTATTATACTTAGAGACAAGGTCTCATTGAGTTGCTTAGGGCCTCTAGTTGCTGTGGCTGGCTTTGGACTTGTGATCCTCTTGCCTTAGCCCCCCAAGCCATGGGGATTACTGGGTGTGCACCACCGCACCTGGTAAGTCACATCAATTCTGAGACCTGAAGGTGAGTGAGAGATGGCCAGGGGAACTGGCGAGGGGATAACTTTTAGGAAGAGCAAAGAAAAGAGATGCCTAGGCTGTAGTGGTGAGCACAGGACTAGGAAAAGAAACTAGAAAGGCAGGGAGGCCATGGCCAGCTTAGGAAGATCTGGACCTCTGATGGCTGGAAGCTGCAGTTGTCCTAAAGGAGACACAGGATACATCAGCGTGGCTGCAGGAAGAGGCTCCAGCTGCAGCATGAAGAAAGTACTGTATGGGAGAGGTGCCACAGAGAGACCAGAGCAGGATTTGTGAATTGCTGGGGTACCAAACACACATCTCAAAGACTGTAAGAAAGTTCAGGTGTCAAGACTGAAGATGCTACGGTACAAATGATTTGATGTGAAGCTGGAGGGCAGTGGAATGACTGCTCTTGCTGAGGAAGGGAACCTAGGCAGACCCTGAAAGCTGAGCTCCAAATTCCTTGCTTGCGGGCTGGGGATGTGGCTCAAGCGGTAGCGCGCTCGCCTGGCATGCGTGCGGCCCGGGTTCGATCCTCAGCACCACATACCAACAAAGATGTTGTGTCCACCGAGAACTAAAAAATAAATATTAAGAATTCTCTCTCTCTTTTCTCTCTCTCTCTCTCTCTAATTCTCTCTCTCTCTCTCTCTCCTCTCCCACTCTCTCTTTAAAAAAAAAAAAACACTCAAATTCCTTGCTTGGTCCCAAGCAGGATCAAGAACTAGCAATCTCACAGACAGCTCAAAATTGTCACTCCCTGGAATGCAACTAAACCAAGCCCCCTTGTACACCAAGAACCAACCTGTCCCCTATTGCACTGCCTTACACAATTCATCTTCCATTTTATGTTTGAAAATCTCAACTGTACTGAGTCAAGTCTACAGTAAGGTTCTTTCTAGTTAAAGTAAAGTGCTTTTAAGTGAATAACATCTCCAAAAAGTTTTAAGTGACTGAACTTCAACCTCCTAAAGGTTAAAGAACCCTGCTTCACAGTTAAATCAGAAAGTTCACATTGCTAAAGAAGCGATCTGGTGAGCGTCTGTCACAAAACCCCAAGCCAAACCAAACAAGAACCTGCAAAACCTTTGGAAATCTTTAATGCTAGGAAAAAAGTGTTGACATTCCTGCTTCTGGTTCTGTATCCAGGCTCTGTACTTTTCTAAATTCTTATTGCAATGACAGCAAGACTTGCAAGACTCAGAAAGCTATCAGGTTAACAGTGAACATCACTTCCCCCAACAGGGTCTGTGTGTTCATATACCTAACTCAAGACACAGAGAACTGGCCCAGTACCTTTATTCCCATTAGAACATATCTGACAAAGACCAGGCCAAGAGGCCCCAAAAGCTCAGAGTTCCTAAGGTTCTTGCTGAGCTCAACAGCAAGCCCAAACTCTACAAGGAAAAAACTTGGAGAAATGTGTAAGTCTGTTATTTAACAATGATCAACAGAAAGATTAGTTTTATCAACTGGGATGAAGAATGTAAGAAGCCTGAGGAAAAAATGTCTTGTTCTTCAATACAGTTTCCATTGTTACAGAAGACAAGATGTCCAGAGATGATGACAAATTCGACAGGACACACACCACAGTATCCAGTGGGAGAGTGGCCCATTCCCACTGTAAGAAGGCTTAACATGTAGAGAGGAAAACGGAAATTGCGTTCATTTTGTTTATGAGTATTTATTCTCCAAAAGGCAAACAGGTTAAAAATATGCATTTCGAAATATCAGGTGAAGACACATGATATAATAATGAACTTGGTTTTTAAGTATGATTCTGGCTGTTGGTCAATACATCTGCCTGCTACCCAGTTCTCCCTTATTGACAGATTTGGAACCTTTTACTGATTTCTTTCAAATGGATACACAAAGGACTGATGGGAGAAAGATGTCTGCACAATGCCAGAGGGGGGTTTCATTTGCAAATATTTAGGTGGTCCTTATGCAAAGGACACAGGTAGTCTTACCTGTTCACTGTTTGACACTTCAACTCTGCGGAAAACAAGGCTGAATTGTCATGAAAGACTGATGAGTTGTGAGATGTATTGATCCTGACTTCTGGAAACACTGGGCCATTGGAGACTGTGTCCATTAATGAGACCTGTGCTCAGAGCCAGAGAGCTCAGTTTGATTTTGACGTTGATGTCCCATAGGACATCACTGGATGTTCAAAGCATGAACACCCTACTAAGGCAAGGTTACTTTGCATCACAGCTCTTAGCTAAGGCAAAAATGCAGAAAATGTCATCAGTCACATTTGGTCTAAGAAAATACCAACATCAGTAATGTATAAAAAGATCATAGAACACCATTTTGAAAAGCAGTTCAAATGGTTATCTTAGTTCCAATGGCCTTGGGGTAGATTATCCACATGTGTGATCTTAAAGTTAAAAAACAAAACAACAACAACAAAAAACAGACAAGAATTTTGTACTCAAAATGATGCATGCTGTATCCTCAAAGTCTTCACCTTGTCAGTCTAAACAATTACTCAAAAATTTCCCACATCTAAAAACAATAGCCATCTCTACTTTTAGAATTCTTGAAGAAACCAAAGAAATTGCAGTAGCACCAAATTTACATATGTGTATGTATACTTATGTATATACACACGTGTATATACATACATACAGACACACACACACACACACACACACACACACACATATTATTTTTTTATACCAGGGACTGAACCCACTGAGCCACATTCCCAGCACCTTTTATGTTCTATTTTGGACAGGGGCTCACTAAGTTGCTGAGTCTGGCT